ATTATGCTGTTTGCTAAATGTTAAGAATGTTATTTGGGACTTCCGGTGGATTTTGCGCGCGCGATGGCGGCTACTTTGCAGCCGTCCTCCTGGGTAAGTGTAAGAACTGCTATGAACAGCAGACATCAGCTGTTCAGCGGTTCAAAATCCCCCTCCCGGGCAAAGGGGGGGGGGCAGAGAGTGTCTGAATAGTGGTAGAGCCTCTTTTGCACCCCCCAAGTCCTTTTTTTGGGGGGTGAAAGGAGTGCTCCCACGGAGTTCAGACTTGTCTCCGCTTCCCAGCTGTTTTTGTCCTCAGGGACAAAACGAGCCGCTGCAAACACCTCCGTGCTTAAAGAGAACTGGTGAGTTTTTTTTTTAAACGGACAGAGCTGAGTAGAGGATTTAGTTTTTGCTTTCTTTGACTTATTTGGATTTTAAGTTTTTAAGACTTGTTTCTATTTTTACTCTCTCTTTTTATTTCTCCTTCTTTGCTGAAAGGGAAAGTAAAATGGCGATCGGCAAATCTCTCGGTGTTTTTTTTTTTTTTTTTGGAAGTTAGAATGCTGACCGGCAGGCTTTTTGGTGCTTTTTTTTTTTTTTCCTTTCCCTTTTCCTTTTTTATTTTCTTATGATTGGAATGGACTGTTAGAATTATTATTTTTGTTTAATCTTTGTGTTTGTTTTTGGTATCTCTAAGTATTTTTTTTTAAAAAAAAATGGAACGGACCTTTTCTATTTAATTATTTTTTTCTTCTCCCCCTTTTTTTTTCTTTCTCTCTTTTCTTTTTTTCTGAACTCCTTTCCTTTTATTGCAATGACCCCTTTTTGAAGGATTTCCCCCCCTCTTTCTTTTTGAATTCATGGAGTTAACTCCTTTTTTTTGCTTAATTTTTGCAATTTTTAAGGAGGAGTAAAGCTTTTTTAATTCCTTTTCTCTTCTTTTTTTTCCCCCCTTTTTTCTTTTTATTATAATGACCTTCTTTGGAGGGAGTTATGATTTTTGAAGGAATTTTTATAATTTTTTAAGAAGGACTAAAGGGTTTTTTTTTTAAGATGGCTTCAAAGCGTCCAGGGATTTCTACAGCTTCTAAATTAACAGTCTCACCCTCTTCTGGGGGTCAGCTAACAACTATGAAGGATTTGCAAGACATGATGGGAGATGTCATAATTCAAATTAGGGCAGAAATGAAAAAGATTTTAGAGGAAAACAATAAGATCTTGAGACAAGACTTTGTTTTGGCTTTAAAAGGAGTTGCTTCTATTCTTGAAAAGATGAACTCCCATGTGGAAGAGGTAGATGAAAAAGTGGAGATAATGGAGGGGAAAATTCAAAGTATGGAAAAAGAGATGGAAAATGAAATTCTTATGCTTCAATATGGACAAATGGAATATGCCTTAAGAATCAGGGGCCTGGAAGAGTCTTTGCAAGGAAATTTGAAAGAGATGGTTGCAAAGGACTTTGCATTGATTTTGAATAAAGAAAAAGAGGGAATACTTAGTGAAATTGAAAAATTATTCAGGGTTAATTCTGTGGTGGCAGCACAGAAGAATCTGCCAAGAGATGTGGTAATTTACTTTGGTAAAAAATCTCTACGCAATGAAATTGTGCAAGCCTATTATAAGAAGAGATTTCAAATTGCTTCACAAGATGTTATAATTTTTAAGGAGATCCCATCTAAAATTTTAAGAAGAAGAAAGGAGTTTGCTTTTCTAGCAAATGAACTTAAAAAGAGAAAAATACTATTCAGATGGGATGTCCCGACTGGAATGGTGGTGAACCACCTGGGGACATGTTATAGACTTAATACTGTTTCTCAAGCAAAAGATTTTTATACCTCGGTCCTGGGGGTATGTGTATCGCCATCTATTAAGTTTAAAGCTTTGGAAGAAAAGAATGTAGAATTACAGCTTGAAGAGCCTATATTTATGAAAATTGGGGAACCCTTGTTTGAGAGGCCCCAACAAGTCCAGGTTGAGGAACAGAAGACAACTTGTGCAGCATACAATTGCAAAGAAAAGCAGCAACAGAAGAAGGTCTCTGAATCTCTGGGAGAAGTTAGACCTACAAAGTCTCTGGAGCAATCTTCAAGGGTGGAATTGCTGCCTGAAATGGAAATTGGGAAATTTCAGCTTGAGGGGCACCAACAAGAGAGGAACGGGCAGAGGATAACTTGTACAACTTATAATTGTGAAGATCAACACAAGGAGGAATTCACTGAGGAAGTTTTACAGGTATCGGTCCCTGAGACTTGTGCAACATATAAATGTAAAGAAAAAGTAACATATAAATGTAAAGAGAAAGACCAACAGAAGAAGGAGGTTGAGGAAGTTTCACAGGTACTGATTCCTGAGCTTGTGGGTCAACCAGGACTTACAAACTCTTTGGAGCGATCTTCAAGGGCAGAATTCCACGCATTTTTTTCGATGCTTGCGGGCAAGAGAAACCGATATGGATTGTGCTTATAGTAGATGTAACTGGCTATTAGACAGAAGATTATGGATATTGAATGAAAATTTTAGATAAGAAGTTTGTGTTTATAGTGGGTGCAACTGGTTATCGGACAGAAAATTATGGACATTGAATGAGAACTTTAGACAAGAAGTTTACTATTGAGATTGTGGGAGAAGTAAAACTTACATCGTTTTTGGAAAATGTCTTATGTAATGTCTAAATATGTGTTTTGGGATAATAATATATTTCAGCTTTAAGTTTTAAACCTTTAATGATAATATTGTTTAAACCTGTGTTTTGAAGGGATTATAATTTGTTTATTTCAGTGAGGGGATTCTAATAAATTTGTGTTTTGAAGGGAGTATAATTTGTTTAAGTTCCAAGTAATGCTTAAATTTGGTTTTTAAATATTATTATTAATATTTCTAAGAGAAAATAATTTGTTTAATTAAATGTCTAGATTTGTTTAGGAAAGAAAGTAATGCTTAAATCTGTGTTTTTGGAGGAAGTTTATATAGAATGATGATTGTATTTAGATTTGTTTAGGATTCAAAAGTGTTTCAAGTTTTTAAATATTATTAATATCTTTAAGAGAAAATAATTTGTTTAACTAAATGTGTCTAGATTTGTTTAGGATTTTTAAGTTTTTTTTTGGATAGGTGAGAAGATTATGAAGATTGAAGGAAATATGTATTTACTTTAAGTTTTCTAAGAGTATTTAGTTTTGATGGTATAACAAAGGTTTATATATTTATTTTTTTGTATTAGGATAAAGAAAGAGGGAGAAATTAGATTTTACATTATAGGTATAGATATTCAAAGAAAGTAATGTTTAAATTTGCGTTTTTGGAGGGAGTTTATATAGAATGATGATTGTATTTAAATTTGTTTAGGTTTTAAAAGTGTTTTAAGTTTTTTTCTCAATTAAGCCTGTACTCAGCTCTGGGAAGTCCAGGGGAGGGTTTGGGAGGTTGGGGAGGAGGGGGGTGAGGTAGGGTTGGGGGGGGTATGGGAAGGGGATTTGTTTTTGTAAAATTTAAAAATTTTCAATAAAAAAAAAAAAAAAAGAATGTTATTTGGAAAAACCCCAACCCCAACCCTAATCCTAGCCCTAACCCAAATCCCAACCCCAACCCTGACCCCACCTTATTCCTAACCCTATAAAAACTAATAAAATCTATGCAAAAAAGTTAATAATAATAATCAGAACTCTGGAAGTTCTGATCCAACATTACTGGAGGACCATAGGCTGGGAAGAACTCATATCCATCATGATAAAAAAAAAAAAGAAGGCAAATCCAGAAGAGACTGATGCAGTACAGTTCTTGGTTAAGAATGCATGAAGGAGTTTTCCAAAGATGAAGACTGAATGACAGGTACTGTAAGTGAGAACAGAGAGGGATAATAATAGAAATGCTGAAAGAAAGTGTTTTCTGGCAAGAAGGAAGCAAACCTAACTTCCATTCTTGAACTGAAAAGAAAAAAAAAATCAACAGCAGATATAGAAGAGTGTTTTAAAACAAAGCAAATGGTTCTCATCAGACAAAGGCCAAAAGTTGAGATTGGCAGAACTGAAAACAAAGATCCCCTTGTTTGATCCCTACTTTAATGACAATTTAGAATCAGAGGTTTGTGAAAGAGAAATCAGGAACAGGGAGAAAGGAGGGAGGGAGGGGGAATAATTGTAGACTTTGACATTTGCATTATATTTGCATACCAAAAATTCTCAGATTTAATTAAGTGAAATGCAAGTCTGAGGATAACCTTATTCTACAGAGACATTGGTGTATCTAGCCTACTACAGACACACTAATTTTGAAATAAGCTTCTTTTTTCTTAAAAGTAATACAAACACAATCTCTTAACCTAAATAAAACTTAGTGATTTAGAAAAACAAAGAAAAACTCAGTCACACAACTGTGACTTGTTTTTATTATCTAGTATAGTAGGAATGGCATCTTTGTCCATGCAAGACTATTACTTTATGAATGCCACAAATCAAGGTGGAAGTTTAAGACTCCCTGGGGGGGGGGGGCAGTTTTATTTCTCCTGCAACCCATTAGCTCATTAAGTAATAGATTGGGGTGTATGGATATACTGCATGATTGGGTACAAGGATTTGTGTTTGGGATGAGGAAATGTGAAGGAAAATATCTATGTGTGTGTGTTTATGTTTGCATTTGTATGTTTATATATGCATGCATATATATGGGGTTTTGAGAGGCACAAAACCATACCTCTCTCTGGTTTAGTTTATAGGGCTTAAAAAAAAAGATTGTCAAATTGCCAATTTTAAAAAATTAAAACAAAAGCAAACCAAGAAACACTAAAGGAGAATAGTAAATTGAGATTAAAGTTTTGTTGAATGCTCCACAGCAATTTTAGATGATATAATTTGCATTAATTGTAATTGCATACTATTACATTTAAAATCTACATTGATTTTCACATTATCTTAGTAAATTTTGTTTTAGCAAAAACACACTACATTTTGAATTACAGAAACAGCATAATACTGATGTTTAATTCCATTGTATGAATTTAAAAAACTGACAGTACTCCTCACCTGCAGCAACTATCACAATGTCCGCAAGCTGTGTATGGATCATCAGCTGATCTTTTGGTGTATATCTATGGGTTATTGTTACAGTAGCGTCACCTGTCACATGCATAATAGTAAAAATTATTGCTATTTCGCAGCTATAATTAAAATTATCATTTTGGTGTAGATATACGAAGGGTTTGCATTATGAGACTTTCTTTGATTTGTAATTCATCAGAAGCCACCAGGCTCTGGGCTATAAATATTTATTTTTAGAACCCAATTAAATAAAACTGCATAACCCAGGACTATATGTGCCTTTCAGAAACCCTTCTCCAAATTGCTGTAAACAAAAATTACTAAACATTTGTAGAACATAAATGTCAATATATGTTTCATTTTGTGTTATTATTGCAATAAAATGCATTCATTCATTTAAGTGTCAATTGGATATAATCTTTGTTCTGATTCTGCCCGCTCTTTTGTTTTGACTGCTTTGGGAGTATAGTCCACAAAGAGATCCCATTCTACAATTTAAAAAAAGTCATCTTTATTGATGCTTGCTCTCTTATGCTAAGTAAGCAATCAGCTTACTTAAATATCATTAAACATTGCCCAAGATTGACAGTATGCTGACTGAGAAGGAACAAGATTACTTTTTTAAAAACTCCCAGAGATGTTATTAATCAATAGAAAATAGATATCAGGAAATGGAGTTCAGTTTGGCCTAGATGAGTTATTCTCTCATCCTTATGTTTTTGTTTCACAACCTTGGATCCAACTCATGCAAGACATGAAAGTCTAGCCTGTAACAGTTTGCATCCCTGGAAAAAAAAACGTAAAAAGCTTTATGAAGGACTACCAGATCTGTTTTATAAAAACCTGGATGTTTGTAACTGGCAGCAGAACTAAAGTAATTTGTCTTTTTTTGCTACCATCTTTTGGTTGTCCAGATTTTTTAAGCCTACAGCAGAAAGATCTAGTTTTCTAGAAATTTTGCTCAGATTTTGTTTATACTTGACAGCAAAAAAAAAAAGTCTTTGTTAGGCAATATTCTGCAAGAATAATAGCAATAAGCTTGAAGGAAAAGGATACCTGAAAAATAACAAATGACTCATACTGTATTAAAGAAAGACTTAATGGGAGTCTTCCTTATTAGGAGCATAGGGCAGAAAGATGGAAAAAGTTGGACTGGTGTAAAGCAGTTGTAGGGGAGTAGATGACAGCAAAAAGAAGAAAACTAAAGTAAAAAAGGCAGTATAGAGAAAAGACAGAGGGGGGGAAAAGGCACATATTGTTGGTTTTTGTGAAAAAGTGAATTACATCCTATGCATAAAGATGGAGTTTTGTATTGCTAAACAAAAAAATAGTTGTCTCATGTTATTTTTAATGCAATATTATTGATAAAAAAGGTTTTAGTCTTTTAAATCAAAACAGAATATAATCCCATCCCTCCAATCTTAAGAATTCTGGAAAAGTGATTAAAAGAAAAAGGATATCAGTACAAGCTTATCATTTATCACCAGTGGCAGCAGGATATTTATTTATTTACAAAATAAATTTATTCTCAAAGAAAGTCTTATTTCTGATTAAGTAAAACTGATTTTACTCATACACAATAAGGAAGGAGGTCTTTTTTTTAGTTCTTTTCCTTCTCTCCCTGTTAAGGTTTCCAATAGAATAAAGTAAAATGTTCTTCAACGTACCTCCAGGCCTTTCATGTTCCCCATCAGTATGCAAAAGCATTAAAATGGGCATTCCAACATTTTTTGATCTTCCAACCACAACTACATTTCTTCCAAATGTTTGTATTCCTTGAAGAAAAATAAACATAACTGAAAACATATGGAAATTAAATATTTTGTTTTCATAGTGGGAAAAGACAGGACAACACCTTAATTTCCTTTTTCACCGTGGAATTATAATAAGAGTGGTAAATTTAGGTTTTTACAGCTTTCAGTTTTTATGAATAACTAAATAATTATTCAATTGCATTAAATAATGTGTGGCTATTATTATTACAAAAAGTTTAATGTATGTTTTTAAAACAATAGTCTTAATTGTAGTCAGCTGCAATTTTATTTTGTTCATTGTTAAAATTAGTATTTTAAGTTTACTTTATATAAAAGCAAAATGTGATCACTAAGGAGAAGATGGATACCATAACATAGAGCTAAGAAGAATAAGCTGTGTTAATATGCTCAAGATAGTTCAAGAAAGCTTATTCTATACTTGCTGCTCAGACTTCATTTTCAAAACAGCATCTGTATAACTGAACTGCCATTCTATTATTATTTCTGGAATTTAAAAATCACACAGATAGAAAGCATTTGTGCCAAGAAACCTGAACACTTCACTAGAAGCACTTAGAAGAAACACTTCACTGCCATAAATTTCTATCTGGAGCAAATTCTCTACCCATAAATACAACAGCATCTTCCCTTGCTATTGTTCTTTCTCATGGGCTATGATCTGGTAAAAAAAAAAACACTTGGGTGTGTGTACACACACACAGCTCCTGGTCCCTTTTTTTAAAAAGTCTATATAGCTTACCCCATTGTCTTCTGTAATGGTTTCTTCTAAGCCACAAAGTGATGGGAACAGTTAGTAGAAAGACTGTATGTGTTCAATAATGATATCTAACCCTATTCTGTTTCATGGAGGAAACACAACAAAGTCATATTGGAAGTATTGTAGATAATTAACACTCTGCTTATACTTCAGAATGTATTAGAACTGTGGTGGTGAACCTATGGCATGCAGAGCTGTCCCTGTGAGCATGCGCGCCATTGCTGAGCTCCTCCCCTCCCCCTCTCCATGCATGCACAATCTGGGAACAGCAATAGGAGCTGGGTGGGGTGAGGGAATCTATAAAAGGAGCAGTTTTGGTGGGAGAGTGAGTGATCGGCCTTTGGAAGCGACCAGTGGTGAGTTTAAAATCATTTTAACAACCAGTTCTCTACCTCACATTCCCTCCATCTTGGTCAGGCTGAGCTGCTCAGGGGGTCAGCTGGGGTGGGGGCAGGAGGATGGGGGTCATCAGGTCCTGGTTAGGGGAAGGTGAGGGGGTCTGGTGGGGGGAACGGGAGGGCTGGGATACCTCTGTGGAGGAAAGCAACAAAGGGTGCTCACATGCCAGATCCTGCCTTTCTCCACCACTGCCACCAGCACAAGAATGGTTTGCAGATCTTCGCTTCCGGATCTGCTGCCTGACACTATCGGCCCCTGCACACACAGGCCAGCGAGCGTATGGGGACTGATGGTGTCCGTCAGCAGCTACAGCATGCTGGCTGTCCTGCATAATGGTGGACTGGCCACAGAGCCACATCGGCATGGGCGGAAATGGCTCTGGGATAGCCGGAAGGAAGCCTTTGCCCGCCCTGGGCGCATCCACTCGACAGATCTGATGAGGGTGGCTTCTGCTGCTGTTCAATATAAATTGAATAAATAACCAGTTCTGAGGACCAAATTCACTGAGCATTTGAATGGGGAGAACAAACAATAGTTTGCTAGTGCTATTCAGCACACAATAAGAAAAAAATAATGAACAGCAGAAAACAGTGTGATGATACAAAAAGCTTTGTAACATCTTAAAAAAACACTATATGAGTTAGAAAGAAGCCACATCATCCGAGTACAAAGAAGTACTCAGTTAAAAAAATAATAGTTTCAGAAATCTGAATGAGTTTGCAAACTGACTAAGAAGAGCAAGGAACTCTTCTTTGGATCAATTAAAAATAAAAGGAAGAAAACAGAACCAATATGTGGGCTGCCCAGTGAAAACAGCAACATATAAGAACAGGAAGAACTATTCAACTATTGACTTAGACTTTTCTCACAAGAGAGTTCCATCAGGCAATTAAAAGAACAGAATAAAAGGGCAAGCTTAAAATTTTAGATTAATAGAAACATGGTCAGGAAATATCTGACAATTCTGAATGAGTTTAAATTTCCAACATTGCAGTCTAGATATGATAGGATTAGCAGTGCTAGTCAAATTTTAAAAGAAACCTATTTCAGTGCTGAAACTATTTGAAAGAATGGTGCTCTGGGTATTTTATAGTTTAACTTTATGCTTCTTTTTCCAGAATGCACTTAACCTCCATCTCCTTAAAATGCTTGATTCGGTTACCGGTTCTCTTTATTATTTCCCAAACTGCAGCAGCAGTGGCAGGTATAACGGAGGGCTGGTCAAGACACAATCGCCCAATATTGAAAATATGGAATCCATCCACATCCTTTTCAGGAGCAACACTGTTGCACACAGTCCTTTCGTCAATGTGATCTGGAAAAAAAAAAGAATTTGTTTTTCTATATTTAGTTCTTACTTTAAAATACAGTTAGCCTAATGGTTGTTATTTATCTTGTGTCATGTATTGTGCCTGTTTCTAAAGGTGAATGTAAATATATAAGGAGGTAATTTTATATGAAGAATTAAGCGTCTATAATGGGACTCCTGATTTTGATTCCACTAACTAGTCACATCTTAATTTAATTCAGTGGGGATGGGTAGAAAATATGCATTTAATTTTGCTCAATAAAAAAATACACTACCTGTAGAACTAAAAGAGAGGCCATTTCCCCTATAATGGTCAAATGTTTTCACAGGATATGTAAGAAATCCATTCTTTCTCTATCAGAAAAAGGATGTCCTTGATTTTCTGGTATGTAGGGGAAAAGTTTCTTTCACAAGAATTTCTGAATCCAAAAACATGGCAAATATTCTTTTTCTTCTCTCTTGAGAGAGAAACAATGCTTATGCTTTATTAAAACAGTTTAAAATCTAGTATTATTCTCTGACAAATGTAATTTTCAGAAAATATGTAGGATTCGTGTAGCACTCTTAACTAAAAGCCTTTAAGATGTCCTTCTGTTGGGGATTCTGGGTTAGGAAAAATACTGTTCTGGTTGTTTTTTTTTTTTTTTGCCAATCTCTCCAAGAAAGGGGACTAGAGACGGGTACAATGTAGCTATAGCGATATGGCTGACTATTGAAACAAATCCTTTATCCTACTCAAATGGGATCATAAAACACAGAATAACAGAGTTGGAAGAGATCTTGGAGATCTTCCCTGCTCCAGCAGGAGACCTATACCATTTCAGACAAGTGGCTGTCCAATCTCTTCTTAAACACCTCCAGCGATGGGGTATCCACAACTTTTGAAAGCAAGCTTTTCACTGGTTAATTGTTCTCACCATTAGGAAATTTCTCCTCAGTTCTAGGTTGGTTCTCTCTTTGATTAGTTTCCATCCATTGTTTCTTGTCTTGCCTTCTGGTGCTTTGGAAAATACCTCATTTTTGTGGTAGCCCCTCAAATATTGGAACAGTGCTATTATGTCTCCCCTGGTCCTTCTTTTCATTAGACTAGACATACCCAATTTTTGTAACAATTCTTCATATGTTTTAGCCTCTAGCCCCCTAACCATCTTTGTTGCTCTTCTCTGCGCTATTCCAGTGTCTCAACATCTTTTTTATATTGTGGTGACCAAAATTGGATGCAATGTCTCCAAATAGAGTCTTACCAAGAGCTTGTAAAGTGGTAGTAGTATTTCAAATGTTCCTAATTCTATCCCTCTGTTAATGCAGCTCAGGATTGCATTGGTGTTTTTGGTTACTGCCACACATAATTGGCTCATATTTAAGTGATTGTCCACTAGGATTCCAAGATCCCTGTTACAGTTACTGGTGTTGATCACATTAAGATTCCTCTCACAGTTACTGGTGCTATCATGATTTGATATTTTTTCTGATATGTACCACGTGCATTTGAAATTATTTTTAGGATGTTTTAGCTTAAAAACATAATACACCATTCAAATTACTCAAATTTCTAATAGGCTAATTGATAGTAAGAAATTTTATGCTTCTAGGGCTAATAAAGGTGACCTCAACAAATTCATTTTTAGAAATGTGTCAAATCATTGCAAATTTGATTTCAGACCAATTTCCCATCCTTGTTATTCTGCAACCCCAAAACTGACATCCTCAGTTAATGTCAAGCATGATGAAATCTCTCTCCATTTTTTGAATTTGCTAATGCCTAGAACACATTGCTTATTATTGCAAGAGCTGTCCTCTGTATTATAATCATTCAAATGTACATATTTAGGATGAGAACATGCTATAAAGACCAGGGGTGATTCTTATATTCAGTGGAACAGCTTGTGTCCAGAAGTTGTGTATTCCATCCATATAAGTGAGTGCAATGTAACTGTATAATCAATATCTGAAAGTAGCATCTATACCAGCTATAAATTGGGAATGGAGAGGAGGGATAAAACGAATTTAATTTTTAACTGAGTTTAATGTTGAAAATAATGTTTAAAAGATACAATTATAAGATCTCTTCTTAAGCCTGCTTTAAATCTATTGGAGATGGCTTCAAATCAGTTTGTGATCTTCCGAAGACAGATGAATACAGTACAGATTTCTCATCTACAAATAATTCTAGACAGATTATTGTATCTTGAAACATTTCAAATTGGTTTTTATTGAGGGCAAACCAGTTAAGACTTTCTTGGTTGGCTTGCTGAATGATGCCTGAGGATTGGTAGTAGTGCTTCAGCAGGTTTTGATACCACTGACCATTGCAGCCTCCTTCTGGATCACCTGGGAAGTTTGATAATAATATATATTTCTGCTTTAAAGTGATTCCATTTCCATTGCATTTCTATTCCTTAGAAAAGTTTCAGATGTTGTTATTTGGAAACAGATGCAACTCAGAAATTGTGGAGGGACTGGTACCAGGAATGCAAGGCATCTCCGGCAGCACATGAATGGATTAAAAGCCTCAACAGCCTCAAGCAAGCTGAAAAGACCCACAGGAAATTGTGTGATGGAGAAAAGACCAAACTTGGAGAGAAGAGAAGACTTTGTGGAAAATGAAAGTTTTACCTGGGTGAGACATGTAGTTATCAGGACTCTCTTTGTTCTCTTTTTGCTTTCCTCCCCCTCCTCCCCCCCCCCCAAAAAAATTCCTCAGCAAAAACAGGCAAACACTAAATCAAAATCACCTTGAGTTCCTTTATCACTTAGTTGTCTTTTGCATTTTAAAAAGAGAGTTTTTTTTCACTTATAACCTACCCTCCCCTTTGTTATGCTGAAGAGACAAACATTACAACTCCACAGCACTTGGATTTATCTTCTATGCTCTTTTATACCAACTGCAAACTATGCCTATACATTTTCTCTTCTTATGAATAGTCCTCTGATTTTCAGACTCTCTCTCTCTATATATATATGTTTCCTGAGGTTTTCGCGGGTATTTGTATGTCGGTCTTTGGTTGTTCGGGTTTTCTCCCGCGTAAGTGCACTTCCAATTTGCTGAAAATTTTTGAGAAATTTAAACTGTGTCTACACTAACTGCAAAGCAAGGCTTTGCTCACATTAATTACAAAACAAAGTTGCAGTTTTTTGAGGATTGTAAACTGAACTAAGGAAACAGAGAAGAAACCTAATTTGCCCTTCTCCATTGTATATAAGTATTATTTCAATATTAGCTACAAGAGGGAGCAAAATGCTAATCTGAACAAAAGATTTATTTTCAACAGAAGATCATGTGATTTAGGGCAAAAGACTAATTTTTATCAGTTTTATCAGTTTTGCTTCCTTATATTGAAGTGTAATTTCAACATTAACCACAAGAGGGGGCAAAAGACTATTTTTATCACCTTTTTAAAAATCAGAAATAATGTTGCAGAATTAACTCTTTGACACAGATAAGATTGTTTTATAAAGATTCAGTTTGCCTGCTTCTTGTGGAGTTACAAGAAGAAAACCATAGTATTATTGGAAGCATTTGTATGAAGAATAACAAAGCCATGGAAAAAAGAGGCTAGATTCCTGCCCATCTGCATCAAATGCAAATTAATTGGATTACTTAAAGAAAATCTGAAGAGTCTATGGGCAAAGCTAGCCACTCTGAAACTTGTCATTCCAAGACTCATTGGTAAATATGATGAACTCTAATAAAGGCAGAAGTCTGTATCCAAACCGAACACAACAAAAAAGAAATAACTATCAAGAAACAGTAAGGGCAATGGCAGCATGTCACTCAAAGGTCAAAAATATAAAAAGGCTGTTCCTGCCACTGGAGTTGAATAACCAATTTCATACTCTCCATTTGGAAGAAAATATGCAGACACGTGGAGAAGAGTGTTTGTCAAATGGTCCAGTGACAGGAAATAAAATAGCTTAAACTTGGGGGGGAGGGGAGGGGGGAATAAAAGTATGTGATAATGATCTATGACTCACTACTCAGGGGAACAGACCGAACAATAATGGTGGTGTGTTGTTTCCCAGGTGCAAGGATTAAAGATGTGACAGAGAGGCTTACTAAAGTAATCAAATCCAACAATTAAGAGCCTGAAAACAATTGTGAGCAACTAGGCAGAAAAACAAGGCATTTGGAGGCACAGCTGATGTTCTAATCTCCAACAGAAGATCAACACCCAGTGAGGGAATGGAGGATTCTAGAAGTAAACCACTGGCTCAAGAGATGGTGCCACCGAGAGAACTTTGGATTTTTGGACCATGGTTTACATTACCTATAGGAAGGGTTTCTGGCAAGAGATGGGTTGCATGCTACAAGAATCAGGAAAAATGTGTTTGGAAAACAACTACCTTGGCTCATCCAAAAGGCTTTAAACAAAAACTGCAAGGGCAGGGAGACCAATCTTTAAGTACAATCCCCAAGACAAGCAATCAGACAGCGAGAAAGGGAATGGTGAGAAGGACTGGAAACTTAGATATAGAATATGAAATGTAGAAAACAAACGGAAGGTCAGCCATAAAACGCTCAGATGCCTATACACTGATACTCGGAGTTTGGGCAACAAATAGAGAGAACTTGAGATTCGAGTATATGAGGGCAGATATGTTATTACTGCTATTACAGAAACTTGATGGAAAGGAATTCATGATTGGAACATACTGCTAGAAGGCTATAAATTGTTCAAAAAACCCAGAACCAACTCAAAAGATGGGGAAGAGTCGCTTTCTATGTAAACAATGGCTACACCACTACAGAAATACAGAATACTAGAGATGAAAACTTTCTTGGAAGTGTTTGAGTAAATATTAGAGGAAAAAGAAATGACATTGTCATAGGCATGTACTACAGGCATGTAATATTAACCAGGTGGAGAAAATAGATGAACCCTTTGCTAATCAGTTAGCTGAAGTATGCAGGAAAAAGTACATTGTAGCAATGGGGGACTTTAACTACCTGACATTAACTGGGAAACAAACTGCAAGCTATGGGAGATCAAATTGGTTCCTGATCTACCAGCTAATAACTTTGTTGCCCAAAAAGTGGAGGCAGGAACTAAAGAATCAGCTTTTCTGGACTTAATACTAACTAGTCACAATGAAATTATTGTGGAGGGACATCGAGGCAGAGTAAGCATGTCATACTAGAATTCACCATAATAAAGGCACAGCCAAACCAGTGTTTTAGATGTTAAGACTTTAATAAAACAAGAGACAAATTGGGAAGTAATCCATGAATAGAAATCCTAGAAGGAAAAACAGTTCAGGATGCATGAGAAACTCTAAAAACTGAAATACTAAAGGACCAAACAAAAACAATTATCAGAAGAGGAACAAAATACATCAGATGAGATAAACATGGATGCACAAGAGCTCTCTGACAAACCGAGGAACAAAAAAGTATAAAAAAATGAAAAACATGGACATATAACTAAAACAGAATACCAGCAAATAGCCTAAATCTGCCAGGATGGAATCATGAAGGCTAAAGTTCAGAATGAACTAAGACTTGCAACAAATGCCAAAAATAAGAAAAAATGTTTCTTTCAATATGAAAGGAACAAGTAAAAAGTCAAGGAAATGATAGGTCCACTAGTGGGAGAAGACTGCAAGAGGGCAATGGGCAGCAGAGAGGAAGTGGAGCTACTTAACTTCTTGTCTGCATCTGTCTTTATGCAAAAGAAAAAAAAATAGCCAAGGTATCAAAAACAGAGGGAAAACAGAACAGGAATGCTGGTGAAAATGGATAAAAATTGGCAAAAGAATACCTATCCACTTTAGAAGAGTTCAAATCACCAGGACCAGGTTTACATCCTAGGGTACTGAAGGACCTGGCAGATATGATTTCAGAACCATTGAACAAAATCTTTCACAGCTCTGAACTGCCGAGAAACTGCCAGAGGATTGGAAAAGAGCTGAATGGTTCCAGTCTTCAAGATGGGGGGGAAAGTGGATCCAGGAAACTTCAGAAAAATCAGCTTGATATCAATACCTGGAAAAGATAATCAAGCAGCAGATTTGTGAGCATCTACAAAGTGATCACTAGAAACCAGCATGTGTTTGTTAAAAATATATCATGCCAGACAAATCTCACTGCTTTCTTTGATAAAGTCATTAAATTAGTGAATCGGGGAAATGCTGTGGATATAGCTTACTTGGATTTCAGTGAAACATTTGATAAAGAAGATTTTTATCCTACTTCTCGCTAGGATAGAACAATGTGAGATAGACAGTACCGCCACCAGATGGATTTGTAGTAGGCTTACCAACTGCACCCAGCATATAGTTCTCAATGAAATTCCATCTATATGGTGGGAGGCATGTACTGGAGTTCCTCAGTCTTGGGCCCAACGGTCTTCAACATCTTCACAAATCATCTAGATGAGAGGATAGAAGGGGAACTCATAAAACTTGCAGGCAATATCAAGTTGGGGGGAATTGCCAATGCTTTGAAAGATAACGATTCAGAAGGATCTTGACAGACTTGAGCATTGGGCCATCTTCAATAAGATCCATTGAGGCGAGAAAAGTAAGTTCCTGTCTTTAGGCAAATACACAGGTACAGAATAAGCAGTACCTGGATCAACAATAGTAACTGTGAGAGGGATTTGGTGTCCTAGTGGACCATCACTTAAGTATAAACCAGCAGTGTGTTATAGCAGTCAAAAAATCTAATGCAGTCTTTGGCTGCATCAACAGAGGAATAGGATCAAGATCACAGGAAATTATAGTAAAACTTTATATTGCACTGGTGAGATCACACTTGGAACACTGTACCCAGTTCTGGTCACTATGATACAAAAAAAAGATGCTGAGGTCCTAGAAAGACTGCAAAGAGGAGCAATAAAGATGATAAGGAGACTAGAGGCTGAACTATATGATGATGAATGGTTACAGGAACTAGCCTAACAAAGGATTAGAGATGACATGAAAGTAGCTGTCTACCAGTATTTGAGGAGCTGTCACAGAGAAAACTGGGTCAACCTATTCTCCAAAACATCTGAGGACAGGACAAGAAGTAAAGGGTGTGAGCTTTTGAAGCGAGCTCCGACCCAGAAGTAAGGAGAAATTTCCTGACAGTGAGGACCATTTAATCAACGAAGCAGTGTGCTCTATCACTGGAGGTTTTCAAGAAAAGATTGGGGTAGCCCTCCGTCTAGGATGGAATATGATAGTGCCTTACTTCGCAGGTCCCTTCCAGCCCTATGATTCTATGAAATGGACAATTGCATGATAAAAAATCAAGTCTCCAATTCTGTGCATTTCAATATCTATGATATGATATTAGAAATTCTGAAGTTGGGTATTACCAATATGTTGATGACACTTAAATTATTTTTCTATACCACTACCAGGAAATGGTTGATAATGAAGTGGCTCTCCAAATGCCTATGTGCAGTTGGGAATGAAAAACTCTTTCACATACAATAACCACAGCAAGAATCCTATATGCAAGAAGGTGAAGGATTTGCAATATCCAGAAGAATGGATGGCTAGACTGAAGGAATTGACAGAATGGCAAAATTGGCAGTTTTGATTAAAGAAAAGAAAAGCAGTTTGATTTCTATTTAGAAACCAATTTTGGACTTTTTGCAAAAAAATGAGAGAAATGAAATTCTGATTTTGGAATTTAATTATTAAAATTATATGGGATTACATAAGTAATATAGACAATTGTTAATTTTAGACTAAGTTTTGGACTTTTATCTACATTTGTACCAAAGAAAGTTGGAAGCCATTTTTTTTTGTCTTTAGTTTTTCCTTTCTTCTTTTCTTCACACTTTTTTCTTGAGTTTTGTCTTGTTCTTTCTTTTCTATTTTTCTTGCTTGTTTAGTTTTTATTCATGCTTCTGAAATTTAATAAAATCATATTTTAAAAAAAAGAATAAAAGATTCAAAATGCTGAAACAGAATCAAGGCGAAATGAAAGTGGTTTTTGTGAGGTTTCATAATTTCAGGAGATAGTAGATCTACCAGCTGTGAACGTGGTTATACAAAGCCAAGGCAGCAAGTAGAGATACGTTCTTTTTCCACGCTGCAGCGATGGCCAGGGCAGCCCTTTGGCGAATGTTTCAGTACATGTTTCAATAGCATCCTTTTCCTGGAAGATGATTTTAGAACAGAGCTGCCAGCACTGATAAGCTCTAGGCTTAACTCTGTGTGGTGCTGTTTTTGGATCTATACTCTAGACAGTGTGGACTTTAGAAGAGTTCATAATATTTCTGTATTAAGAGAATACAGAAACTGGCTGCTAGATTCTTTCCAAAAATGCTGGTTATTGCCAGGGAAACCCTCTATGGCCTTAATCAGGGGTTCTCAACCTTGGCAACTTTAAGACTTGTGGACTTCAACTCCCAGAATTCCTCAGCCAGCTTTGCTGGCTGAGGAATTCTGGGAGTTGAAGTCCACAAGTCTTAAAGTTGCCAAAGTTGAGAACCCCTGCCTTAAATAAAAGATACTTGGGAAGACTTTCTTCTTTATGGTTCTTTCAGCTTCATTCATGGCAATTTAAAGTGAACTTTCTCTTGGAGCTATTGCTAATTTGGGGGAAAAATTTGGAAAGGACAGGACCAATCTGTTGCCACCTGCAGGGCTGTCCTACTGATAAAATATATGGCAATTGGTAATCAGATTTTAGCTATACTTGTAAAGGATTAAGCAATGTGACAGAAATAACAAATATTTAGAGAGAAAAAATAATTAGAAAAATAAATACTAGTAAAGACAACAATGACCTAAGGAAATTGATCATTGATAAACCTTTTGTGCCAGAACAGAGGTACTAGTTTAACTGCATTTGTCTCATATATTCTCAAGTCATTCCACTTTCTGACTCCATATGAAACAGAATTCATTACCTGGCAAAGGTAACTGGACTAATATGCCACTGACTCTTGAATCCTTGTTTAACTTGCCAGTGAGATCTAAAAGTTCTTCTTGAGAAATTTCCTTGGGTTTCAGTATTATTTCACTACAAATGCCTAAAAGAATCCACAAAAGAAATATCCTTAGCAACAATGGTTTGCATTTGTTTCTTGCAAGATTTGCTACACAAATCAAATTATGCACTTCCACATTTAATGGCACTATTATTTATCTTTGTTCAAGCTTCTAAAACAGGTAAAATAAATTCATATATTGCTTAATTATCTAGGACCTACGTAGGCAACCTGGAACTGTTGAATCTCTTCTGAAACCCAATTTACTGAAAATTAAAGAAATGGTGTTCCTAGGAGTCTGAAGGAAGAGGAGCTGGGGGGGGGCAAGCAAATGTACACCTTACAAATTTGCCTTTGACATTGAAACAACTTTACTCGGGATGTCATGACACATGTTTCAAAATGTTGGCATCATTGCAGTCCTGATTGGGTGCCTTTTTGAGAAATATATGAATTTAGACATCAGTGAATGGGTCAGGCTACTTGAGAGACCGTCTCATCCCACTGGAATTGGCCTGTCTCACCCATGCTGGCAGAGGAGGAATGCTGCAAGTCGTGTCAGCCTGATTATTCTGAGTCTGAGTCCATAAGGGCCTTCTCTGCTGTTGCACCTGCCCTGTGGAACATCTTACTCCTCAGTGTGAGGTTGGCCCCCGTTGGGCCCTGCCCTCCTGACCTTCCGGAAGATCCTAAAGACCTGGCTCTGTTTGTTAGCCTGGGGCTTCAATGGGGGAGAATCACAGTGAATGTGGTTGATCGATTAACAACAGATCTCCCCTCCCCTCCCCAGCCTACTCCTGCTCTCCCCGTTTTTTAATTGGGTCATAGTGCTTGGCTTTTGTATTGACTTATGCTTTTAGTTTATACAGTTTTTATTTTTTATGATTGTAAACCACCCAGAATTACCCTGAGGTAAGATGAGCAGCCTATACATTTTATTAACAAATAAATAAACACATAAATAATAAAATAGGCTTCATACAGTAATGGTATGTAGGAATGAGACCGGCAGAGAGATGCTGTCTAGGAAACAGATAATGGGCAGAAAAAGAGGCTCAGAAAGGACCCTTCTCCCAATCTCAGGTTGCAAAGGAGATGGCACAAGTTTCAGACTTGCAAGATTTTATTAATATAACAATAAAGTAGAATTAGCCCATCAGGCCATGTTTTCTGTCTGTTATTCTTGGGAAGACTGATATTAATCTTGTCCTGCCTCACCCAAACTATACGAAAATATTGTCCCTGAATAGCTCTCCTGCTTTGCATCATTGCCACATCCACTGAAGCCTCATTCTTCAAAAAAATAAAATCATACGCAAGTAAAATATTGTATCTATTATGAACATCCTGGGTTGGCAACGTACAAACTCTATTTTTAAAAAAATCATACCTACTGCTGCTGCTGCTTTTACTTTATTTCTTACATAAGTGTGACTAGCTGGATTTTCTCCTACTAAAACAACAGTGAGATGCGGTCTCTTGTGGCCAAGGGTAAGCCATGATTTGATATCTCTTTTTATTTCCTCACAGACTTGTGCAGCCAGTCTTCTCCCTGAGATAATAGTTGCTTCATTCCTACAAGAGATAAAATGAAAACTTTAAAGAGAATCCGTCTAAACTTTTACAGCCAAGGAAATTACAATATAGCACTATTCACACTTTAAAATATATAAAGTATGTTTTATTGCAGCACATAGACAATTCATGTGAACATGTAATATTTGAGGAGAGGCTCATTCAATATTAAATTCTATATTGGAACAAAATTTTTGGAATGGCAAATTCCTCTAGCCTGATCCTACCATCTTCTAAAGGTTGCCCCTTAAGATTGCCCCTTAAGCTTTCAGATTCAGCTAGGGCTTCATTCTGGTCTGTTTCAGAAGTGCCTAGCAAACTATAGGTTAATGCAACATCTCTGAGTGAGATGAGTCCTTTTTCATAAATAAAATTATTAGCATAGCAATAAAATGCTTTGAAAAGAATTTTCATGAATAATTTGACAACCTACATTTCTAGCAATTATTGTCTTCTAATAATATCCACAAAATAGAGGTAGGAGGGAAAGGAAAGGGGGTGTGGGAATTGGAAATATCAGTCTATTACCATTGTAGTAGAGTTGATATGTTGAGGGATAGTATTCAGCAGAATGTGGTATTAATAAAGGTATTCAATTTAATAAAGTGTTGAAAGCAGTCTTAGGAAAGTGAAGCAGAGAATGTATTTGTGTTTAAAGAAGAGGGTATAACATTGGTTCAAACCTCCCTTGCTGATTAGACCTTGTGATGCAGTTAAAAAAAAACCTGCATGAGGAAGGCTGAAGAACATGTTCTAAGACTAAGAGGCTGAGTGCCATTGAAGCATTCTGCAAAAGAAGCAAAAGATTAAGAGACAACCTCTGGCTAAAATCTAGATTGCAAAGAAGAGACCAGAAGTCCTGAGCAAGGATCAATCTAATGTTGAGGATGTCAGAGGGTTGAGAAATACTATCAAAACTAAACAAATTTCATTATGGATAAGGTAGGATGTTAATCATTATTTACTGAACAAACCATAATACCCAACTTCACAGATATTACTCCATAATCGATAGACACTAAATCCAAAAGAATTAAGCCACATTATGATTTACTAGCCCTATAGAGACATTTATTTTATTATGGGCTTTGGAAGCAAGGAGTACTTCAAGACCTTTCTCTTTCTTTGGGACTCTTTGAGCTTGGCTGTTTGCTTGCAGGTGTTTTATTACCCAACTAGATAACATGTGCTAGTCAATGTGTGGTTCGCTTTCTTTTATATATAGTAGCATGCTCTTCAGTCTGGATAGGACATCAGTCCTGCTTATTACCCAGCTAACAAGCAGAAACCAATACCCTAATCAAGAAACCACCGAGAAAACCATAACCTCGTCAACACTAGCAGGACAAGCATCTTATGCAAATATGGAGCAAACCCCAGATTCATTAGCACTGATAACACTATATAGTTAGATAATGAAACATCTGCAAACAACAACAAAGTTTAGAGACACCAAGAACTCCATAATTCAACCAAGTTATGAATATTCTGTTCTATTGGGTCCTCTCACTGATGAATTAATTAAAAATTTTCATCACATTAAAAAAGCCTAATCAGGATTTAGATCAAAATTCTAAATTATATTTACTTCCAACTATATATGAAAATGCTACTTAAATCTGCCACATATAACAGTCCTAATCATTTATAATTGAAACTAAAATATCCTATGGGTACAGATTATGTTTCATAATATTCTGTTGTTTCCTAGTTCTTTTTATTTTAATATTGCTATTATTATGATTTTAAACATCTTTCTGATGATATATGTTATCTTAGCTATTATTAATGTAAATGTAATAAATAATTACATTTATTTTGCAGCATTTCTTTTTTAAAAGATTGAGTGATTCTTCAACCTCAATTTTATCCTCAGAATATAGTTTACAAGATATCTAAAAGAGGTAACTCTTCACATTTGCAGCTGTGAATGCAGTGACCAGCAGCCAGGGTCTATATATTACCATATGGAAAACAATATAACTGTTTGCAGGAGCCAATTCTTTTAAATGATGTTGTGCAAGGCAATGATGGATAGCAATCTTATTCAGAATGCTGCCAGAATACACATATTAAATGTATAATATGTGCATTGTGGTAGCATTCTGAATACAATTGCTATAGAGGTTACCAGTGGTGGGATTCAAATATGTGAACAACCAGTTTTCTGTGTGGATGCCGCTTCTGAAAGTCCATTCTGGAACTGGGCAACAAAAAATTAGCTACCGGTTCTGCTGAACTGGTGCAAACTGGCTGAATCCCACCACTGGAGGTTACATATTCAGCTAATTTACTTATATGAAAACCCAATCTCTTTCAGTTTTGCAAGCATT